GCCGGAGCCGCGGCCGAGGCCTCGGCCGAAGACGACGGGGATTTTTCTGGCTCCGACCGCGGCGGATTGGCGAGTCCATCCACTCCCGTGACGTCATCCAAGTGACGTAGACGAGAAAAGCTCACGTCGCAGGCCCGAGGAACGTCGACGGAGGAAACCTGGAGCCATCGTCACACTATCGATAGTTTCGTCTGTATCTCAAGGTCGCGCGTTCGACACGAACCAGAAATGAAGTAGCACCATGCGTGCGAATTGTTGCAATTGGGAGACAAAGCTACATACAAAGAAGACAAAAAAGATGTGGAGGGATCCTATTGGTGGAAGCGAGTGATTGCAATGGACGAAAGGGGTAAGCAATAGCCTGACTAACTGCAACCTGGAAGAGACCCCATCGTTACTTCATCCCTAACTGAGAGACCAAAAATAAATGTGAATATGCCAATCGAAAGCGACCCCTTGGTAAGTAAATCCTCGGAGACTTAAACGCTAGGATAAGAAAGTCGCATTCCTACGGACGGGATCAGCGGGCGGTATATTGGTTGGCAAGTCGGCAAAACTTTTTTCCCTCCCTCCATTTAAATACATTAAAAAAAAATCGATTGTACTGCCTCACCGAGAATCGACTGTTTTGCATAGATTTATATGGAGAAAAATAGCACTGCCAACTTGAAAGAACCGCCGCTGTCTACTTCGCACATCAGGGAGGAAAAAAGTTCGGTGCAATCGATCGCAGAAGAGGAGATAAAAAAAATTACATTCTCCGTCCATCAACCCAGGAGTGCGAATTGTTCTAGGCCTCCGCAATTTTCCGCAACGCGCTTGGATTTTCCCAAAAAGGTCAACACAGCTGGCTGATCAAAATTTTATTGAATTTGTTGTCGATTTAAGAGTGTGTGCCAAAGTCGCATTATTCCACAAGAGTTGAAAATCTAAAGTCTGAAAAATCTAAGAAAAATTCAGCCTCCACAATTTTTAGGACAGTTCCAAAATTAGGTCGCGCGTTCGAGAACAATTTGCACCCCTGGTTAAACGGCTATCAAACAATGAGATTTGCAATAGGATCCAAACAAACATAACCACTTGAAATATAGTCTAGAAGAGATAGTAAAGCCAAAACAACCTCTGGAACTTAGGCCGCCGCCGCCCCGCCCCGCTCGTAGAAATGCAACTTTCTTACCCTCCCGTTCAAGTCTCCGAGCGTATGCTTACCAACAGTCAAAAGAGCCAGACATTTTATGGCGTCTTGCAAAATTGATGTGCAGCACGCAGAGAGTGCTGCTTTAAACTCGGGAAATAACATTAACACTTGAAAATATGTCAGCGTTTGAGTTATCTCGGTGAGATGTTCCACTGCTTGTGTTTTTAAGAGCATGCACTCAACGGATGTTTAATTACTTCATTCCGATATTAAAGTCCACTTAACGGATCTGTTTCTCAAGTGAGGTTAAGTACACTTTTTGGATGGAGTTTAACTGAGAGAACCTGAAAGTTCTTTTCTTTAAATCAGGCGAAAGAGTGTGAATGAATGTCTCCATGTTCTGAAAATTTCAATGAAATTTCCTGACTTTTGATAAAGTTCTGTGAACCTTTGGGATTTCTTTCACGATATCAAAAAACTTCAAGTTAGCAGTTCTGTAGATCACGAGAAACCATGGAATGAGCACAGACCGTATCTACGCTGAGATAAATTCTCCTGTTAAATGAAAATATACTGCAACGGGGATTCTCGTCGAATCCATCGAAAATCTCCTCTAAGCGACAGGACAATCTTTTGAAACAATAGGACTAAGTATCGTTTAAAGCAAGATTTCATGTTGTTTTAACGAGGAATTCCTATCGTGACATACTTAAAAATGAATTTATACTATTATTTCGCAGGCAATTAGCTATCGCCTGCAAATTGCGATCTATTTAAGCTGAAAGAAATATAAAAATTTAGAAATAAAGAAAGCCAAGGAGAAAGTACTGTTATTAGGCTTAAAATTCAAACAGACGTTGAATCCATGATACCAGCTAGAAGTCCTAGCCTGGGACTTGTCTCTGCCTAGAACTCTCGCGAGAGCGTGTGATGAAATCAGTGACCTTGCATGGGTTATAGGTTCGGGTAGGCAACATAACTAACGGCCTTGCAAAGCGTAGAGTATCACCAAGATTTGAAGGCGCTCCGAGTCGGAGTCGTGCTTCTAAAGTTCTTCACCAATGAGACATTTACTATGTGGATGCGAATCATTGCAATTTGAGCACATGTGCCACTTACAAATTGACGGCGATTGCTGACGACCTGCGACGTGCGACAGGTGCGACGGGAAATTTTTCTTTGTGCGCCTCGTGATGAATTCGGTGCAAAACCTTCAATTTTGATTTCTAAAATATGGGGTCGTAGCTAACTTGGTATTATTCGGTTGAGATTTTGCTCGTACTTAGCATTGCATTTATGTTGAAGATGGGAGTTGAGCGTGAAGGATGTCGCGTCTATATTTCGCGCTCCGTTGATCCCGAGCCGGGAATTTTTTTCTCGGGCTCCAAATTATGGGCTAACCCTGGACCTGGGTGAATGCATGGCCGCCATCGGGCGTCGCACAAAGGACATTTTCCACGAGACTTTCAACTAAACTGCAAATTTTCCCATTTATTCCGTCTTTCGGAGTTAAACCAATGAACCCACTTATAGAACCTCAAAGTTTTGAATAACTGGAGTTATAAGCGTTTAAAGTTTCCAAATTTTATCTGACCTCTCCTATTGACTCGATCCACTGTGCGCCGCGCGTGGTAACCGTGTGCGGTTGCATAAAATGCAGATGCGCTAATCTCAAGATCCTGCTTTCCGAGTGATTTCAGTCCAGGATTATAAACACTGAATTTTACATCGCTCCTTTGAAAAAAATAGCGAAAAAACTGGGAAGGTCAAAGACGCCTCCATGGTGCACTTACTAAAAGGGAATCGCGTTTTCAAAAAATAAAAAATAAAAATACTACAAATCATCTTCATCCTCATTTTGGGGGAATTTTAGAGAGAATTGACAATGATAAGTTTCACATAAGGATTTCCCTGAAGATTTCCTAGCTACCACTAGCTTTTATAACTGAAAATTTCCTGACTTTTCAAGGATGGTTGCTGTTCACAAAATATGATGTCTCCTTATTGTATGTAGTTTTTACCAAGGTTCTATAGTTGGTGAATGATAGCAAAATAACCTTTTCATGTTATCAATGCCTTTATTTTAAGAATTCCCGACAATCCTCTCCACAACACCTTGGTAAAAACTACATACAATAAGTTCTAAATGTGGTATTGTTTGACCAAGAATTTATTGGATAATGTGTCCGGTCCGGTTCGGATACGTCAGCCAGGCTTGTGAGTAGTCAGATAATCGTATTTTGATGGTTAAAACTTAGGTTAAAACACTGAAATTCCCCATTCTACAACGGATTTTTCTTGGGAATAAATCAAAAGAATACAATGGTTAACTGATTACCTAGCGAAGCGCTCCTTGTCCTGAAGATCATTTGACTCCTCCATTCGGCCGTATTTGCTACCACTGGGATCCTCCTCATCCGATCTGAAACAAATTTCGGCGAGACATGAGTGTACAGAATCAAAAACAAGTTTATCACACATCCCTGCCGAAAGAATAGGAAGAAAAATTATCAAAGAAAATCCGTTAGGACTTAAATTTCCCTTCATTTGCGAGCACGTTCGAGAATGAAGACGTTCGGGCAGAAAAACTAAAAAATGAATTTTTGGTACTAATACGGGGAGGGCACTCAAGGAGCATGTGAACAGCTCTATACAATTTCCAAAAATTCCAAACCAAATGATAGTTATGCCGGGTTAAAATTTCCAGTTTATAAAAGAAAACTGGTTTTAAGGAAATGATATTCACACCTTCAATTTGTCTTATTCAGAGTTCAGAATTTTCGGATTGAGGTGCGCTGCTTCACGTCCTTGATTGATTGCAAAATAACCGATGGCTGCTAGAACGATAGCAATCAGAAATATTTTCGAAAACTGAGAATCCGATGTTAATTCAACAAAAAAAAGTCACTAGAAAAAAAAGAAAGGAAAAAAAATTATTCCAAGAGGGTTAAATTTCCGAGGACGGTGATATTTATCGTCATAAAGTGATAGTAAGACACACCTTCGAAACGATACGAAGTTTGATGCTCATTTTTGGATTTTTTTGGGAGTGATTCGAGTTTTTTGTTGACATTCTCAGTAAAAGAAGACGGAATGGGATCTTACGTATTCTAAAAAATTACCCTTAATTGCACAGCTCAATTAGCTACTTCAATTACACGCGTATAATTATGAACTTTCTACGGTTTAGTAATTATTATTTTTTCTTCCAAGTTTAATTTTAATAGGCTCATCTCACAGTCCTGGGCGTATTTGCTGCCAAACAGAACTATGTGCATTATGATGTGAGCCCTGTTGCGCATGTATTCTTATGGGTCTCAGGGCTCGTGTCTTAATGCACATTTAGTTCCGTTTGGTAGAAATGCATACAATTGACCTACTCCATAATAATCTAATGAGCAGTTACGACAAGGAATTTACAAGATTCACCCGCAAGTACCAAAGTTTTAAGAAAGGCGCCAAAATAGGATGATGAATTTGAATTGAGACCGGGCTGCTCCATAGGGCTCACGATGACTCTACTTCAAAAACATACAAAAAGTGAAACATGAATGGAGATGCATTGATAACGTTACTGAAGACTGGAAAGTTGCATTATTTGTGAAAATAAGTCCTTTGGAGACCATATATTCTTTACAGGTCACATATCGGCGGTGAAACTACCAAACCACGTACCTCGGTTTGCGACGTCGCAGACTTCCTGTCATACTTTATTTTTTAAATGAAAAACTATTTATCGTCCAGTCTTGAAAATTTCTGCGATTTTTCCTCTTCGTGCGGAGAAAATTCTGTGAAAATTTCAAAGAATGATATTGATTTGGTCTACTTCAAAAAAATAAAATGCGAGCGTAGATTTTTAAACACCGCAAACGAGATACGTGGTTTGGTAGTTTCACCGTCGATATGCCGGTCATACATGTATTAAATAACCTAGGGGTACTATTTAGACGCATCTCATTATTTTTAGCTTATCTACAATAATAAAGCATCAAAACACGAGTCTGTGACCAGCGGGCTGATTGTTGAAATTGATAGACAAAGCTATAGACAAAGAAGACTTAGGGAGTATGGAGCGATCCTATTGGTTGAAACAGGTGGTTGCTACAGACTAAGGGGGGAAATAATGGACTAACTAAGGGTCTCTCGCAGGTCGCAGCTAGTGAGTCAATTACTTCCCTCCTTTGTCCATTGCAACCACCCGCTTCCACCAATAGGCTCCCTCCATATACCTCTTGTCTTCTTTGTCTATATCTTTGTCTATCAAATTCAATAATCGGCCCGCAGCGCGACTGACCCATTTCCTTTCCGTCTCTTGGTCTAGCGCTTTGGCTACCAATGTCAATAATCAGCCCGCCGAGGAGGGAACGTAACTCCATTCAAAGGTTGCCAAATTGTTCAAACAATTCAATTTTTCAAGAACATCAGATTGCAATCTATGTATAAAATGCTAGTTTTTTAGGAAGCCCGAATAATAATACAGTGTTTGCAACAGGTTTCTTGCAAAAATTGTGTGCGGAAATTATGTGTCGTCGAAATTTACGAGTTACGCTCGTAGTTACGCTATTTCGTCTGGAAAACGACAACATGTCGTGTTTCATGCTCGGTTTTTATTGTAAAAAGCGGCTCAAGATTCTTCAGAGACGAGGTGCACGGCATATTTTGAGTGATGATGGAAACGCTTGGTTCCAGATTGAACCGGATCAAATCATATTACTCAGCCTCTTCTCGAAGAATCGAGATTTTTCACGAGCGACTTGAGAAAGTGAGCATGGACCAACGACCAACTCTTCAACATTTCTCAGAAATGAGCCGCAATTTAGGAAATGATCTCACCATTCATATTTTATATTCTCAGTTTCATCATGCATTTCCCATGTAAAAGTGTGGTCAGGCCTCTGAAAAATAACATTCTAAAAGGTAGCAACGAATCGCGGTAATCGTGTACGAATATAATTCCTCTCGATTTAATTAATTAGCACAATGTTATTTCTTTTCGATCTTCATTTGGACATGAGCCTTGTCATGTACGCGTTCATGCGGACCTTAGTGTCCGTGTCCAGGTTACAATGAGGATAGTTCCGTTTGATTTAGGACTTAGATGCGTCCTCAGTTTTAATAAGTCCAACTCGAAATTCACGGAAACAAATGCTTTGCTCAAATTCTCGAGATTTCAATTGGACGTACATATTTGAAAAGGAGCTATGTCCATTGTGGCCTGGGTCCCCGGGTGCAGAAGGTCGTCATACATATAATACGTGGTCAACAGAGCCCATGCACAATCGATACAGTTCCTTCGATTTAAAGAAAGATCAAAGAGCTTGATGCAAAAACGGCTTTTTTCGCCCCCCTCTGAAAGTTCTTCAGACTTTGTCTATTGATTACTCATATACTTGAGCGCTTCTTTTCCCAAATTTTCAGACCCCCAAAAAATTTTGGGGGGGGGGGGGGC